CCAGCACACTGGCCTCCAAGTTCCACTTTGCTCCTGCTCCATAATTCAGGAACCCAAGTGTGATAGGATTCAACTTTCCAGAAAAACTTGTAATCATTCAGAAGTCATTTTATAGGAAAGGTAATAAAAATAAAGAAAGAAGTAATTTTAGGGCGGCGCCTATGGCTCAAAAGGGTAGGGCGCTGGTCCCATATGCTGGAAGTGGCGGGTTCAAACCCAGCCTCAGCCAAAAACTGCAAAAAAAAAAAAAGAAGAAGAAGAAGTAATTTTATTACATAATTAATTTTCACTGACTCAAAATGTTTGTTTACTTGGCAAAATCAATATTAGAAACTTAATCTTTTGGCAAATTAATTATTTTGGTGATTTCTCATTTTTCATATATTTTATTAAAATTAAAGAATTACACAGCGCAGATTCAGTCTCATAAACAGACCCTAAATCATTACTTATTTTGTGTAAGTCACCATGGTTAACAGTGTAGGAGAGAAGTCCTCTACTCTTTCATTTTACAGGGAAGGAAACTGGGGCCCCTTTCTTCCTTTTTCTGAAGTGGCAGATGAGAATTGTACCTATGTGAGGTATAGTGTGACATTTCCATACATGTATACATTGTATTTAAATCAAATCAGTGCTGGCTCAGTGCCTGTAGCTCAGCAGCTAGGGCGCCAGCCACGTACACTGGAGCTGGCACGTTCCAATCCAGCCCGGGCCAGTTAACAAGAATGACAACTACAACCAAAAAATAGCCGAACATTGTGGCAGGTACCTGTAGTCCCAGCTACTTGGGAGGCTGAGGCAAGAGAATTGCTTAAGCCTGAGGATTTGTGACACCATGGCACTCTACAGAGGGTGACATAGTGAGAATCTGTCTTAAAAAAAAATTGTGGATTGGCTTTTACCCATCGAGCTTTACTTCCTCCTGCAATAGTGAAATACTGGATGGTAACAGTAATTAGATCTCAGAAAAGCTTGTCACAAAGCACCTCAGCCTAGAGGAACTCGCAGGCTCTGTGCATTGGCTAAAGTTTCAGGGTGCTGCTACCTCACACCTTTAGAGCAGAGGAACCTTAGATGGGTGGTGCTTTTCTTCCTGTGCATTAATTTGAATTAAGCAATGATGCCTACTTGCTTTTTTATTCTGATACCTGCTTATTGCTAACGTGATCCTTTGAGTGTTTTCCTCCTGTTGGTCGGTATTGCTTAAACGCCCTGCAGACAGAGCAGCAAGCAGAGAATCTCCTATTTCCACATGCTGCTGAGTAACCCACCAATTGCCAGATTTTGCGAAACAAATAAATGCTATAAAAGAAGTTAGTCAGGGAAGATTTCCTAGAACATGCTTGAACCAAACTTTGAAAGATCTAGTTGACATTACAGAGGTATGATTATGAGATTTACACCCATAATACAATGTTGCCCTTGGCAGTCTATAAAGGATTTTCTTTTTCATTTTCACAACTATCCTGCAGAGATTTGCTCTGTCAAATAGCCATCAAGTATTTTCTGTCTTGTACCACCCCGATTCAGCCCGGTGGAGCCCAGCAGGAGGGCAGACCCCTAAGGTCACCCGACGGTTACTTAGTGGCACCGGGATGTCCCCTAAGGTCACCCAATGGTTACTTAGTGGCACCGGGATGACCCCTAAGGTCACCCGAGGGTTACTTAGTGGCACCGGGATGTCCCCTAAGGTCACCCGAGGGTTACTTAGTGGCACCGGGATGTCCCCTAAGGTCACCCTACGGTTACTTAGTGGCACCGGGATGTTTCCAATTATTTGTTAGAGTCTAAAATTAGGGCCTGCTATTGTTAAATATATTCAGTAATCACTTTTGAAAGGAAAAGAGTTAGTGGAAAAATAATTCTTTTAACTTTATGATACAAGAATGGAAAACTCATAGCAAAACTAAAATAAATAATAGAGATACACAGTGGTAAGTGACTGTGTATTATCCAGCAGTCACTTTCAGAAGGAAGAAAGTTTGTAGAGGAAAGAAAAGGAAGATTTTAAAAAACAGAACACTTCTCATGAGGTAGTATAAGAAGTGGAATTATGGCAAACTAAAAGAAAAACAAGGCTGGGAGGGATTTAGAAAGAGCCCAAGTATTTCCTACATTTTGTAATCCTCTCCTCATTTTAGGTTTCTGGCTGCAGATTAGATAATATTTTTCTTTACTTATACTGAGCTTGCAAAGACTAATAGAGACTAGTGTGGTAGGTGGGTGGATCGGGTGCTCCCTTTATGTCTGAAGCCCAAACCAAAATGAGCCAGTGTGGGGACAGAGTATCAGCCAACCTAGAGCTGTTAGTCAGATAAAGAAAATAGCCTGTTACTACAGGGATTTCAGACAGGCTTCATATTCTCTTACCCTGGCATTGCTAATTACATTTACTTATTAGAAAATAATAGAGTTGAGTTATATGCTTGCAAAAGAGGCATTGCTTATATGAGTTCTGTCATTTCCAAGTTCATGTTGCCCATCAGAAAATGAGACACATGGGCAGCGCCTGTGGCTCAAAGGAGTAGGGCACCAACCCCATATGCCGGAAGTGGCAGGTTCAAACCCAGCCCCAGCCAAAAACTGCAAAAAAAAATAAAAAGAAAGAGAGAAAATGAGACACATGATCAAACTTCCCTGAAGAGGGAATTGAAAAGTGGTCACTAGCCCTAAGTTACGGTGATCTAACAGAATTGTCCAAAGTCATCTGTTGTGGTTGACCCTTCAGCATCTGGCCTGAGGTCATGAGTTACATAGTGCCAGGCACTGTTCTTGAGTTAACAGTGTAATAGTTGTTAAAAAGAAGACAGGCAAGGTTACTGCCCTTCTGAAGCTTACACTTCAGTGGAGGGAACAGACAATAAACAAGTAAAAGTAAATGAACAAGGTCTACTCCGAAGGCTGGGGGAGGAGGACTGCCGGAGCCCAGAGGTGGAGGCTGCAGTGAGCTATGGTGACGTCACTGCACCCCAGCCCAGGCAAGAGAGTGAGCCTGTCTCAAAAAGAAAAAAGAGAGGGTGGCACCTGTGGCTCAGTGGTTCGAACCCGGCCCCAGCCAGACTGCAACAAAAAAATAGCTGGGTGTTGTGGTGGGCACTTATAGTCCCAGCTACTTGGGAGGCTGAGGCAAGAGAATCACCTAAGCCCAGGAGTAGGAGATTGCTGAGCTGTAACACCATGGCACTCTACCGAGGGCGATAAAGTGAGACTCTGTCTCTAAAAAAAAGAAAAGAAAAAAGGCAGCGCCTGTGGCTCAAAGGAGTAGGGCGCCAGCCCCATATGCCGGAGGTGACAGGTTCAAACCCAGGCCTGGCCAAAAACTGCAAAAAAAAAAAAAAAGGAGAGAGAGAGGAAGGAAGGTGAGGGAGGGAGGGAAGTATTGTATACACCATCCTCAAGGGGCTCTTAAAACCAGTTCTTCCCCCTGCATTCCACGGATACACAGGTAAAATAAGTTTTTCTCTTTCAGGTTGCAAAGAGCACATCCTGGAAGATGCAAAGGCTGACTCTATCAATGATGCTACCGACCTGGCCCTGCCACCTGAAATGCCAATTTTGATTGATTTCCACGCTCTGAAAGACATCCTTGGGCCACCCATGTATGAGATGGAGGTGATCATTCTTTGCTGCTCCTCCCCAGTTTGATCTTTGAGTTGCTTAATGGGTCAAGGGAGAAGTGGAATTGGGTGTTTTCAGAGGGTGAATTTTGTTTCAGGATTGGAAACTTCTTTTCTGTACAGTATTGCATTTTAGTGCTTAATGTGACAATGTGATCATTGCAGGAAGCCAGAGACCTAGCCGTCTTTGGAAACCCAGCCTCATTTGATTATCTGCCATCCAATTCCATTTTAAGCCCAGTGCCTCACATTTCTCCTTAGAAAAATTTTATGCTCCTGTATGTGTTTTGTGTGTGTGCTGTGAAGGGCTTGGACGAGGAGGTGGGGAGTCAGCCTTGGACCAGGAGGTGGGGAGCCTTGGACGAGGAGGTGGGGAGTCAGCCTTAGACGTCTGAGAACAGACACAGATTTCACAGCCCAGCGCCAACGCAAGCCCAGCAGCATCTTTCAGGAACCTCTTGTTTCATTGTTAATAGTTGCTTTAAGGTTAAATCCACAGACAAGTTTTGCCCTATTTTCATCTTTTCTCCCAACTGTATACTTCACAGAAGGGCCTGGGCCCCAGGACCCACTGGAGGCAGCCAGTGGAAACAGGTATGAGAACGTAACTGCATTATGAGATATTTCCCAAGATGCTGACGGAGCTTTTACAAGTCAGTCACTGGACCGTCCGTGTCACACCACTGAAATTAACTTTACCCTCACCCCCTTTTCGTCAGTGTAAGGAAAAAAATATTTTCAGAAAATAAGTCTGATAAATTGTGCAGAAGATAATCTAAAATTTGAAATCATTACTAGCAGACATAGTTTTCCTCATGTTCTTATAATTGCAAAGAGGAAGAATAGTCCCCAGACCATCTTCCTCATTCCGTGTTCACCCTGAGCTGGCGACGGACACTAAGGAGCTGCTCAGCGACCCTCACCCTGTCTCAGAAACAAACATTTGTGAATTTTAAGTTGCGTGCCATTTTTTCATCTTGTTTACACTAGATAGTAAATCTGGACTTGAACAATAGAATCTGAGACATTATTCTGGTTATGTGAATTCTTAAGATATCAGGGATTTGAATTTTGACATGTTGAAAGAACTTGAGTAAAACTTTGTTGGTTAAGTAAACAAAGTTTCCTTTCTTACTCTGAAAATCCAGTGAGTGAAGATGTAAACAGGTTCTGACCCCTGCACATCTGATGGCATTTTGCTCTAGGCTTTTCAGAAAAAGCAGTTCTTTGAATAAATAAACACAAAAGATAGATATACATTTCTTGTGAATATTACCCTTCTCTCCCAGATGGGAGAGATTGTCTTCTGGGTGAGAAAGTTCAACAGCCGTGCTCAGGTAGCCTTGGGAGCATGCTGCCATGACTGAGCTTTGGTGAAGAGAGAGCCCAAGGACAGAAGTGAGAAACTGCATAGACACTGTTTAACAGCTTTCTTTGTTAGCACTGGAGACACTCGCTTAACTTTCCTTCTGTCATCTGATCTATTACATGTGAATACTTTTATCTACAGGAGTCTGAAAGGAAGACTCCGATAGCCATTTTGCCTTTTATAAGTAGCAACTTAAAATAGAATTATCTGGTATCTGAGAATTGGGAACATTTTGTTTTTTACACTTGAAAGAAAGAATTTATCCTGTAGTCTGGGATTCCTCTCTACCTGTAGTGGTCTGATGACTATCAGCCCCAAATTACTCTACCACGATCTGCCTGAGCTTTTACCTGTATAAAATCAAGATTTATAAAACATTTTTTGTTGTCCGTGAGGGCCATCGGTGGTAAGAACCTTCCATTTTATACACAGGGAAAAAGTATAAAGAGACTAAAAGAATTGTGCAATTCCCATAAGGTGCAATTAGTAGAGTCAGCATCCTAGCTCAGATCTACTGTCTCCAAGTCCAGTTTCTTTCCACTCTTCTACAATACCCTGTCACACCAAGATGATGCCTGCCTTTTCCTGCTAAAACAGTGTGGCAGTGATGTGTAGTAGTTTTTTAAAAAGGCATCTGCCCTATATCAGTTTCTTATTTATATCCTCACCCACTTAGTGCTCTGTTTGGACTGGGAGAGGTTGGCTTGATGTCTTGGCCACTCTCATGAGCATATCTGTCAGGTGTCAAGGACCACGGAAGGTTGCAAGGGATGTGTTATCACTGAACCCCCAGTCATGGTGTCTCTCCATTAGCAGATGAGGAAACAGGCTTAGAATAACTAACTTGAGAGAAGACCCAGCTTAGGCCAGAGTTGAGATTGGTTCCAGACCTTACAGACTCCAAAGCCTGTGTGTTGATTACATCTGAGCAAGTCCCCTTCCCAGATGAACTGGGACCAGACCAGGCCGTCCACTGTTCCCTCTTCTACTGAACAAAGTGCTAGAAGTCCCAGCCAGAGAGTCAGGCGAGAGAAGGAAACCAGAGGTATGCAGATGGAGAGATAAGAGGTCAAACTGCTGCTATTGGCTGAAGATAAAATCTCGTATCTAGAAAATCCCAAGATTCAACTAAGAGACTCCTAGAATTGATAAATTTTGCAAAGTCTCAGGCTACAACATCAGTGTACACAAATCAACACCATCAGTCAAGCTAAGAATCAAAACACAGTAACTTTGAGAGTAGCAACAAAGAAAAGAAAACATCTAGGAATATACTTAACAAAAGAGATGAAAGACTTTAACAGCAAAGACTGAGCACTGAAGAAAGAAACTGCAGAGGATGTAGACGGATGGGAAAATACGTCACGCTTACGGATCAGCAGGATCAGCATTGCTAAAATGTCTGTGCTGCCCAAAGTGATCTATAGATGAAAGCAATCCCAGTAAAATAGCAACACTGTTTTTCACAGATCTAGAAAAAATGGTTCTGTACTTCATATGGAACCAGAAAAGACCCTGAATAGCTAACACAGCCTTACGTGTTAAGAACAAATCAGGAGACATAACCAAAACAGCATGGTACTGACCCAAAACAGAGACCAAAAGCAGACCAGAGATCAGAACAGAGAACCCTGAGATAAAACCTTACATCCTCGTGTTCCTATCAGATTTTTTGACAAAGCAGATTAAAACATAGTAGGGGAAAGAATCCCTGTTCAACAGACAGTGCTGGGAAAACTAGATATCCATATGTAAAAGACTAAAACTTTTTCAGTGAGGAGAGAGGACTTGCCCCTCTCACCACTCACGAAAATTAACTCACAGTGGATAAAAGGCTTAAACCTAAGGCGGGAAACTAATAAGTCTAGAGCAGTGGTTCTCAGCCTTCCTAATGCTGCAATGTATTTCCATTGTTACAAAGGGGTTGCAACCCACAGGTTGGGAACCACTGGTCTAGAAGAAAATGTTGGAAAAACTCTTAGAGATAAATGGTCCAGTGAAAGAATTTATGAAGAAGACCCCAAAAGAAACCATAGCAACAACAAAAATAAATGGGACCTGATCAAATTAAAAAGTTTTTGCATAGCCAGGGACACAATCAGTAAAGTAAACAGACAGGGTACAGAGTGGGAGAAACTGTTTGCTATACATGCAACAAAGGGCTGACAACCAGAATCTACAAAGAACTCAAGGAAATCAGTAAGGAGAAAAACCAAACAACCCCAGTAAAAAGTGGATAAAGACATGAATAGAAGCTTCTCAAATGAAGATAGTCTAATGGCCAACAAATACATGAAAAAATTCTCAGTACTTCTAATCATTAGGGAAATGCAAATCAAAACCATAATGAGGCGTCACCTAACCTCAGTGAAAACGGCTCTTAGCTAAAATCCCAAACAACAGGTGCTATGTGGATGCGAAGAGAAAGGAGGATTTACACACTCACGCTGGGGGACTGCAAGCTCCTACACCTCCACGGAAAGCAGCATGGAGATGCCTCAGGGAACTAAAAGTAGACCTGCCATGTGACCCAGCAGTCCCCCGGTAGGTATTTACCCAAAAGAAAAGAAGACATTTTGGCTCAGCACCTATAGCTCAACCGGCTAAGG